TTTTCTCTTCTTGCCTTAATTTCCATTGAGGGATCACCTAACTTCAATGCATACTTTGTATCAGGACCTAATGTTTTGTCCAGCAGTATGCTAGCATACTGGGAAATTGAATTCAATAAAACATGATTCCCACCAGTGATAGTTAATTTTATATGCTAATTTGACTAGGCTACAGGGTGCCAGACAGTTGGTCAAACATTATTCTGGGTGTTTCTGTAAGGGTGTTTTTGGAAAAGATTAACATTTAAATCAGGATAATCACTTGGATAAAGTATATTGCCCTCTATAATGCGGGTGGGCCTCAACCAGTCATACTGAGTCCTGAATGAAACAAAAGGCTGACCTACCCTAGAGTAAGAGAGAATTCTCCTAACAGCCTGCAACCTGGAATACTGGCTCTTCCTGCCCTACGGGTTTCCAAGTGGGATATCAGCTTTTCCTGGTTCTACTGCAGCTTCTGGCCATTGGACTTAAACTGGTACATTAGCAATGCAGATTTTAAATTTACCAGCTCCCATAATCATGTGAGTTAATCCCCTTTATTTATATATATATATATATATATATATATATATACACACATGTATATATACACACACATATATACATGCACATAGACACATATATACACACACACATACAAATATATACACACATACAACCATATATATATGTATATATCTTTTTTATATTAAAAAAGGAATATAAGGATATATATCCACCTTTTTTTGGAGCCATAGTCTTTCTCTGTTGCCCAGGCTGTAGTGCAATGGCATCATCATGGCTCACTGCATCCCTGACTTTCTGGGATCAAGTGATCCTCCCTCCTTAGCCTCTCGAAATGTTGAGATCACAGATGTGAGCTGCTGCACCTCGGTTTCTCCGGGAAACCCTAAAACACCACCTGCAACAAGCTCAAAGCCTAGTCATGGGGAATATCCCCAAGTAAACCTTCTCCATAAAGCCTTTCCCAAAGAATAACACAAGGTACAGTATTATGAACCAAAAAACTGTCAAACAAATAATACTATCAAATATTCACTGAATGAAATAAAAGTACCTGAAAGCAAGATCTGCCAGCGACAATATCAGACTATGTAATTCATTCCCTCAGGAATTCTCATAAAGTGAGTGCCCTGATGTTAGTTTATAGCTAGGCTTGCCCTTTCCTACATATGCTGACTAGAGGAGATTTCTCTGCTTTTATGAGTTAGTTACTGTCATTTGAAGCATGTCATTTGGAAATAAATCTAAAACAGGGCGTAATGGTTATATATTAATTCATCCCTCCTCACAGTGCATTGTACAAATAAGAAGCAAATAAGCTCACTTGAATGGCAGCCAAGTTCTTCTGCTCCTGAGATGGTGCCTCATGAACGAAGCGAAGCCAATTGGAGTGCCGTGGGTTGGTAGCATCCAAAATGTACAAAACTTCTCCCTTACTCCCACGAACCTGAAACATTAAAGGTTCCTAAGTTTACAATGGAAGTCAGAATATTAGCTTTTAAACACATCAAGGTTAGAACATGATGTTTTTTCATAAATATACACCTTTCTATTGATGGGTGATAAATAGAAGATTAACATGCATTCTTCTCTTAAATACATGTATAAGTAGAGCCTACTATTTCATTTGGCAGATGTCTAGATGACTCACAATTGCAATGAACTCTCAGAAGCATCATGTGTTGATAGCTGTCTTCTGGTCAAAATTATTTTGCTTTGTAGGTATATTCCAGTATATGTATTGTAATTGCAATTGTTCAGAGAATAATCATTATTGCAACCATCCCCTTTTCTCCAAAGAGAAGTGTCATACTGCTTATTTCCTGATTGAGAGGGGTGGAATTGGAGCAATCACTTCTATTTCTCTTTGGATCTGCCTACTGAATCATCTCCATAAAAGGAGAACTTGCTCATCTAGCCAGTGAGAATCTGACATCCAATGAGACAAAATGTCATGTTCTTTACCAGTGAATGAATGAAATAGTTTCATTTTATCCTTTCATGGCCCACTCACAGATTGCTGAGAAGGACAGTGGGCTCTCTGGTTTTTGTCTTAGACCAAACGATCTCGCTGCTCAGACCTACTCTACATTCAACTGGAGAGGGAGGGGAGTAACTCCGAAAGCAGGTAGCTCATTGGACATTCTTGAATCTAAGTTGTTTGAAATCTAGCTTCTCCAAAACCCCTGCATTATCAGTTGCTAGGCACTTTCCCAGTTTATAAAACTTATATACCAATCTCCATTCAACTCTCATTTCACGTTTCTATTCCACTGGAATCCAGAAAGGGAGGGAGAGGAGTGACTAGCACTCCATATCTCCAAGACCAAGTAGGTAACACAAATATACAGGTTACAAATTCATCTTGGCAGACTTGATAAGGATTCTAGATTTCTAAAACTTTATTTTATAAAATAAAGAACAATCAGTCCAATAAGGTATATATTTTCATGATACATCTGGACAATCATTTGTTCATTCAACAAATAATTATTAGGTTCTTAACGGCCGAAGGTGTCAAGAATCTTTCAGTGAACGAGACAAAGCCCCAGGCCAGATGGCACTTAAAAGTAAACAAATGTAAAATATAATTTCATTTAAAGATGAGCACTATGAAGACAACTAAAACAGAGCTAAGAGAAGGGCTGTATTAGATGAGGCTGTCAGGGAAAGCCCTTTGATGAGGTGATCTTAAGAGTTCTTAAGGGAGGGAACAGGCCAGTAGAGGGCTGGGGAAAGACTGTTCCCATGAAGCGGGTACAGCAAGGGAAGGGCAAAGAGAAAAAGGCCTTGGGTTTGGAAATGAATCAGGTGCGTTCAAAGAACAGTAAGAAGGCTATGGGACTGGAACAGGAGCAACCGAGAAAGTGGTGGGCATTGAGATCTGACAGATTGGCAGACACCAGATCATGTGAAGACCTACAGGCCAGGAAGCCATCTAGACAGTTACTTTGAGTAGGTACAGTTATTTTTACCCAAAAACATTTTTAAAACCATCTGTTACATGCACTGCAAAAACTGATAGTTCAAGATTCTTACATATAACACCCAGGGAAGAATACAGTTTGCCTGCTCCTATCTGACATACTGCCATGTTTCTCAAACAATTCCTATCTTCTTAAATGCCTAAGGATCCTCAATAATCCTTTAAAAATCTCCTTTATGAAATGCCAGACCATTGCTGGGAAGCAAGAATTTCATTTTTAATAATTTTTAAACGAGCAATTTAGGACTATAAAGATCTCATATTTATATACTTAAGATGCATATATGTGAAGGTATGGGAATTTGTAACACTTCTCATTAAATAGCAAACTCTCACTGAAAAGATCTGCTTTGGGAGGTGCCTGAAAATTGTCATGCCTCCTACTTACTCTTCAGAACACTCTCTGCCCACTGGGAAATTCCAAAAAAGTCCAGCAACACTGATATGATAGAGAAAAAGTACACTCTAAACCTATCCCTCAATGGGCATGCCAGTTCACATTTCTTTTGGCAGAGTATACAAATAATTTTAAATATTTGGATATAAAGTCCTTCCTTTCAGGTACCCCCACAGCTATGGAACCAAAACTGTTTATATTGACAAACAGCTAAATTAAGCACAGCAGGTGGCAATGCCACCTCATACTTGAAAGAAAAATCTTCTCAGGAGAACTGAAATTGAAAATCTGTAACTGTTACTGAAGTCCACACAACCCGACTAACTTTATGTGGTGAAACACAAATGGATTTGCCCAGGGCATATCTCAGTTTGAGAGGACAGCACTACTTAAAGAATAGATTATGGTGCTTCTTAATCATACACTTATCACTCTGGAGTAAGCACAATATATATCAGATGTGTTTAACATTTGGAATTCTTTCTTCAAAGATATGAAATAAAAAATATTTCTCTGTGACTTATTATAGTAAGAACATTTGAGTTTTTACCAGGAGCATTGTTTGTTCTTTGTGTATTTCAGCCTTTCCCCAGGCCCTTTGGCCCCAGCTACTTTCAATTATTCAGTATTAGTAACTTACTTTTCTTTTCAGTCCATTAGATATATGTACTTCCTGGTTATCACTTTCTCACACAATATTCCATCTGAAGGGAAATACATTATTTGATTTTTTACTAAAATTGTTCTGAAGTGTTATTACTTTTAATACACAAATTTATGTGCTGATTTATTTTATTCTCAGAACAATGCTATCACAGCCAGCAATATACTACGTTACCTACATATTCATTTTTGAAATAACTTTCTTTGTTCATTAACAGAATCACTGCCCATTTTATTCCAAATATGCTTACCCAAAAAACTTTTAAGTTCTTAGATAAAGTTAAGATAAGTTAAGATAAAGTAAAGATAAGTTCTTTACTCTCTGGGGCCTACCTGTTTTCTCCAGCTTTCAAGTGGCTGGCCATTTCCTCATTCCATCAGTCTAGTCTTCAACACTTCACCAAAGCTGGTAGATTACCTGTGCACACGCCTTTTATCTCACTACCCTAACCACAGCGTTCTACTTGCTGACATACCATCTCAAAGAGACATCCACACGTAATCGAATCCATCTTTCCTCTTTCCAGACACACCAAATCAAAACAACTCCAGACAGCTGGCTATTATTAAAGTCTCCATTTATCTATTTTAATTTGATACTGAACCCTGAGGTAATAAATTGAATATTTTTTAAATCTAAGGAATAAAAAAGATTGAAAATTCCTCCTAGTACCTTGTTCCAACAACTGACTAACTTTTGCTGCCAAAGTGTATTATGTTCCTATCAAAACTTAGTCTTCCAAATGCCATCTTCTTTCATTTGAATTTTCTTAGAAATGAAGTGTATTTGGTTACTGTCTGACTTACTGCATACCTGGGGCCAATGATGAAGTCAACGGTCTCATCGTGTAGTAAAAAACATCTGTCCCAAAATCCTGCTTGATTTGCACAGGCTTCCTATAGTAGTTACACAAAAAAGTTAGCTAAAGTAGGAAACAGGCCAGGCAGGTGGCTCACGCCTGTAATCCCAGCACTGTGGGATACCAAGGCAGGCGCATCACCTAGGGTCAGAAGTTTGAGACCAGCCTGGCCAACATACAGTGAACCCCATCCCTACTAAAAAATACAAAAATTAGCTGGGTGCGATGCAACATGCCTATAGTCCCAGCTACTGGGGAAGCTGAGGCAGGAGAATCGCTTGAACCCAGGAAGCAGATGTTGCTGTGAGCCAGCACCACTGCGCTACAGTCTGGGCAGCAGAGCAAGACTCCATCTTGCTCTCAAAATAAAATAAAGTAGGAAAGGGAAAGGTACCCTTATGTGAAAATGAAAACTTTTATGCTTCTATATAGTTGTCCATATCTCTACGACTTTGCCACTTTACATTTAATGAAATTATCCCCTTAAGGGAACGTGGCAGGGTCTAGCCTCTGTTAAATGCTACTGGCATCACTTCTCAAGTATCTGAGAGAAAGAATGTGCTGGTCATTGCTACCACGTATCTATACCTTTTTTTCAGACTAAAGGTTCACAACACTGAGTATGTCATAGTTGATTTTATGTTCCCACCCAGAAAAAGACAGAGGAAACCACAAAAAAAAAAAAAAAAAAAAACTCAGCTCAATTAGAGAAAACCCTAACGTGTAAATGAAAGAAGAAAGTGGAAATAGGGAATCAATACAAATCTTCTTTTCCTAAATTTGAATATTTTATTTGTTAAACTGGGTCAACTATAGACAGAGAAGCTCAATTATTACTTAGGCGGTTAATTTCCAAAGAAGAGTCTACAAGGTTGCTTACTCTATTATTTTCCTTCAATCGTTTCTAATGCCTGAGGAATTTTTCACTAACTATGTACATTCCATCAAGGCGCCAAGGGCAAAGCCAATCAGCCAGGTTTGCCCCCTAGAAGTGGCAAAATGTAACTGCAAAAACCTGATTTAACATACGGTAAAATTTAATGGCAGCAAAATACAGTCAGTTCCAAAAAAGACAGCAATAACATCCTTAATGAGAAGTTACAATATGCTATGTTACAGTATTTATTTATTAAACAAAACATATTTCCCTTTCTTCCAATACGGCTCTTCAAAGAAAGTAATTTTAAGCACTAAAATTTAAAATATGGATGTCTTTAGAGTATAAAATGCCATCACATTTTTGTATTTAAATTACAGGCATTCTTTCTACAATTGTTTTTAACTAAAGTAAGGCCACATGCCTTGCCTTCAGTGTTTAATTATCCAAACTTCACAATATCTTTAGGAGCACACAAAAACAAATGTTCTCAAGTAATCAATTCTGACAGCACACTGTTGTCAGATTTAAACCCAAGAAAGAAGCACTTTCAGAAATCAGCAATGATCATAGCTAGGAAACTAGTGATCTATGGTTTCCAAGAATAGGGCATGGGTCCTCCCCTCACCCCCCGCCGTTGATTGTTCAAAGGATTCTCTCTAAAATTACTGCTTGCTTGTGTGCTTACAAACGCGCGCGCATACACACACACACACGCGCACACACACACACACCACTGTAGCTTATCTACTTTTAGCTCCCTTCTACCTTCCCTCCCTCTGCCTCCCATCTGCCAGTTGCTATCTGATAATCCTAACCCATGGATTCCCCTACCTTCATATGGGAAAGCAGATGGAGAGGAAAGGCAGGCTTTTACAGATCCCTGTTTCTTTACTAAATAACATCCATCATATAATACATATTAAGTTAATACTTAATATTAAAGGACTGATGAGAAAAATAAAGTCACTTTTTGGAAAAATATTTAGCCCCCTAAATATTTCAAGTGAAAGAAAATCTTTCTGGAGTGGTACAGATGCTACAAGGAATAAAAAACCTAGATGTCATCCAGGGCTCTGACTACAGCACTTTGGGTGTCATTTCCTCCCCATGAACTAAGCCGTGATCACTTGACCTCTAAAATGGGTGTAACAGTCTCTGCCCAGCAAACTCACAGAAACTGTGAGAGTATCAGATGAAATAAGATGAATGACAGTTCTTTATATCAATAGGTATTTTGTAACCACAAGGTATTAGTAAAATGAAGAAACTGGGCTCACAATGGCTATAGACACCTTAAATATAAACATTCTGCTTTCAATGGCACAACTGGGAACATATATACCATGTAACCTTCTTTCTCTGTGTGTGTGTGTGTGTGTATGTGTGTTTTTTTTTTCTTCTTTTTTAGAAACGGCATCTCTGTTGCCTAGGCTAAAGTGCAGTGGCATAGCACCATCATGACTCACTGCAGCCTCAATCTCCTGAGCTCTAAAAATGATTCTCCCATGTTAACATCCCAAATAGCTGGGACTGGGATTCAGATGCATGTTACCTTGCCTCGCTAATATTTTATTTTTTTGTAGAGTCAGGGTCTCCCTATATCGCCAAGGCTCGTCTCGAATTCTTGGGCTCAAGCAATCCTCCTGCCTTGCCCTTCCAAAGTGCCTAGATTATAGGCATGAGTGACCACATCCAGCCATGTCAACTTTTTCAAAGAATAAACATGAAGGATATCTTCTACTCTTCAAATCCAAATACATATTTAAACAGCTTCTATTTGAATTTTCTAAGGTAGTAGCAAACCCAGTAGTCATTTTGACTGAACTGACACACTTTCTTACGCCAAACTGAAACAATGCTGTGACCCACTGCCAGTAACCGTGCCTCTGCCCTCTCAAGGAGTTTTAATTTATCTTCCACCTACAGCCCTTCAAATTTCTGAAGGCAAGAATCCCTCTCTCTCTCTCTCTGTTTTCTCTTCCACAAGACAAATAACTCCTTCCTTATCAGGCGTGATTTTCAGTTCCATCACTGTCCTGGTTATCCTCTTAGGAGTGCACACAAACTTATCAAAACCCTCTTAACATGGGACAGAATCCAGCCTGGAAATAACCTCTGACCTCAACACCCTTTCTAATGAAGCAGCTTAAAAGTCACAAAAGCAATTTTTGGTTGCCACGCCTGGCATTTAGCTGAGACTACCTTTATAAACAACCCATATAAAGGAAGGTCTCATAATACTGTCAAAGACACAAAGACACAAAGATACATGTAACTGAAGAACTCGGTTAGGTTTATGCAGCTAAGCAAATCCTATACCTAGACAACTGACCACTCAGAGAAGGAAGCTTATTATTTGATATAGTCACAATAAATATTTTATTAACTAAAAGCTCATGTAATATGTCTTTTTTTAAACACTCTCATTCCCTTTATTTCCTTTAAATGTTCAAAAATATTTTATGAGAGATGTAATGTAAAATATTTTAAAGCACTCCATGTATTTTTTGAATAGGGCTAATTTTTTTGAAAAATAAATACCTGACATAAAACGAAAGACAAAGTAAAAACCACATCATCTTTTCCACAGCAAATTCATGAAAATGCCTAACAGCATAGAAACTGTACTTTTCCATAGTTTGACGAACCTATTTAGCTACTCAGATTTCAATGACATTTTCAGACAGACAAGTTTTTTCTTTCTTTCTTATCACATGAAGAATACAGTGACCACTTTCTCCCTTCTTGAAAAAAAAAAGAATAAAGTTGAGTTTACCTGGCATTAGCTTATTGTACCCCTTGTTTTAGGGGTTTTCTGTAAAACATACAGGTTTTTATGCAAGAATGTTACAGCATTTCTCTTAGCTATTTAGTGGCTTTTTGCTTACTATTTATTTTGTCAAGATTGTAAAGCAAGTGACTTCCATAAGCAAAAAGTGTTATTTTACCAAGGAATTCAAAAACCATAATAATAAAACCAGCATATCTTCTGACAGTTTGGCAGCATCCACCAGATCCCTCACCAATAAATTGTAAGACTTTAAATCCTATTAAAGTTTTATGAAGCCTTAGTGTTGCCCAATTTTTAATATAGATTCAAGACTTGCATAGGCTTATAGCCTTATAGTCATCAGTTATCTTTTTCTATTGTTGTTAACATGGAATCTCACTCTGTGGCCCAGGATGGAGTGCAGAGGCGTGATCTTGGCTCATTGCAACCTCTGCCTCCCGGGTTCAAATTATTCTCGAGCCTTAGCCTCCTGAATAGCTGGGATTACAGATGTGGACCACTTCACCTGGCTAATTTTTGTATTTCTAGTAGATATGGGGTTTCGCCATGCTGACCAGGCTGGTCTCAAAGCCCTGATCTCAAGTGATTCACCCGCCTCAGCCTCCCAAAGTGCTGGGATTACAGGCATGAGTCATCATGCCCACACTGTAGTCATCTTTTGGAGAACTTTCCCTATAGCATATTAAGAGAGTTTACAAAATGTACCAAATAATAAAAAGTTTTGGTAGCAAAATTCTAATTCTAAAACATGATATTATTTTAAAGAGTTGGTGGTCACATATAAAGCAATGGCAATATCTAAGACCCAGAGATCACACTCTTGATGGTGTTTTAAAAGAATATGCTTTGGGCCGGGCATAGTGGCTCATGCCTGTAATCCCAGCACTTTGGCTCACTTGAAGTCAGGAGTTTGAGAACAGCCTGGCCAAAATGGTGAAACCCTGTCTCTAATAAAAATTCAAAAATTAGCCAGGTGTGGTGGCACATGCCTGTAGTCACAGCTACTCAGGAGGCTGAGGCGGGAGAATCGCTTGAACCTGGGAGGCGGAGGTTGCAGTGAGCCAAGATCGTGCCACTGCACTCTAGCCTGGGTAACAGAGCAAGACTCCATCTCAAAAAAACAAAAGAGAGAGAGAGAAGATGCTTTGTATCTGAAAACTTCTGTGCAAAGATTATAGAAACACTGAATAACAAAAGAGCATCGTGTAGTCCACAGGGAGAAAAAAAAATTTTAATTGGCTTTTCCTTTGATTTTGATCTCCTAACTCAAATTCCTCTCCTAACTGCATAGTTTTCTAAAGCTATTAAAATTGAATCCACCCAACCCATTTAAATCTAACCATATTCTTCTCAAAATGTACATAACTTGACACAGAAACAAAGCAATGATTTTAGCATCAGAGTGTGCCTAATGCAACCAAATAATTCCCAGTTACTAAGGTAATTCTCATAATTATCCAGCAATCTATAGTTCTGTGCTGAAAATTCTAAAAAGTAACATCATTTGTCAGTAAACATTTACTGAGCAACATTTACTATACATTTCTTCATTAGTTATTTTCAAATGAGTTATGAAAAATCACAGATGAAATTTTCGAACACAGTTCTGTTACTCAATTTATAACTTCAGTATGAGGAAGCAGAAAATAAATGTCTATAAAACTCACAAAGCAATGTACTGATCACTATAAAGGAGATACATATGAATTGCATTCATTTCTAAAATATTTAGTACACATGGGTGTATAGTGACATATACAGTGCCAGGTCCTGAAGATGCACTAAGATGAAAAGTAAGAGTTGGAGCAAAGAGTGTATTACGAAAAGCTTCCAATACAGAGGTATGCCACAAGAATAAACCTAGCAGGCCTGAGACTGCCAAAAAAATCCTGTCTGCAAGTTTGGCCTTTGATGGGCATGGGAGAACGTGGCTCACAGAGTATTCCCTGTCAATAGATAACGTGTCAGGGTGGTTTACTGTGCCTAGACTACTTGTGTAAACAGTATGGGTTATGCTGAACCCCGTCTTCCTTATGGAAGTCTGAAATTTTGATATATCCTAGGGAGAAGGTGCCTATGAGTTTCCAATAAAAATCTTGGACATTGAATGTTAAATGGGCATCCTTGTACTGAAACATTACACAAGTGGGGCTGCATTTTTATTAGTGGACAAATAGTATGCTCTGGCCAAGTGCAGCAGCTCATGCCTGTAATCTCAACTCATTGGGAGGCTGAGGCAGGTGAATCGCTTGAGCCCAGGAGTTCAAGACCAGCCTGTACAACATGGTGAAACCTCATCTCTACTAAAAACACAAAAATTCCCCAGGCATGAGAGCATGTGCCATAATCCCAACTACTTAAGAGGCTGAGGCACGAAAATTGCTTGAACCCAGGAGGTGGAGGCTTCATTGAGTCAAGATCGTGTCACTGTACTCCAGCCTGGGTGACAGAGCAAGACTCTGCCTAAAAAAAAATTACATATATATATATGCTTCCCAGGAAGGAGAGAACATAAGGAAAACTGCGCACAGCTTCCTCTAGACTCTGCCTGTGCCTTTTCCCTTATGATAGGGCTTTACATACATACTATGCCACTGTAATAAACCTTAGCCATGAGTACAAATATACACTGAGTTCTGTGAGTCCTTCTAGAAAAATCAAGTGTTAGGGTAGTGCTGGGAACCTCCAACAAACAAAGTGAATTTAGTTACATGTGCTGAAAATGGGATACAAATTTGCCAGTAGAAGGTAAAGGGTCATTTCAAGATTAATAAAGTTTTGTCATACAAATATTTGACTTATACAAATTAAACTATACCAACTCAACTAAAGCATTTAAAAAATGAGAAAAATCAAAGAAAGAAAATAAATTGAAATAAAAAAGACCATTTCCTTTCATGGCCAAAAAACAAACCAACTCTATCTAGTGATCAAATAAGGAAGTATAATCAGGAGTAATTATAAAAGGTTATTGCCTTATAACTTGGCTTCAGAACCTAAGTTCTGCAAAGAGGTGAATCCACTGTAGAGAAAATTATAACAATGAAATAATAGTAAAGTAACTTAGTCATTTTGCGTGGAGGAGACACAATGAAGGATAGAAGTAAATCTGGTTGGGAAGATGCAGTTAGTCAAAGATGATAGGACTCAAATTTTTGTGGTTGCAGCAGCAAAATCAGAGCAGTAACAGGAAATAAATGATGACTGTGTGAATTAGGATATTCTGCCTTCCAACTAATAGAAATGGCAATGGCTAAGACTAATCAGGGGCCACCCCAGTAGGGCATTAGCTTCTCAATAATAATATACAGCTGCATGGAGAATGGGTGGGAACTCTGCCAATGTCTTGATTCAACTGTGAAAGATGAAGGGCAATAGATAATGGGCAACCAATGACCCTAATATACAGGATGAATTGTGTGTGGAGGGAAAATTCTGTGCAAGGTAAAAGGACTATATAGGCTATGACAATAAATGCATTAATCTATTAATTTATATCTTAGCAGCTATGGAGAGAAGGGTAGGGATGGGAAATACTGATTTATAGGCCTTGAACATAGTTGATACTGATATCTACAGGCATAGTATCAAAGATTAAAAATCAGACAGACTGATATTCTAGAAGCTTTTAATCCAAGGCAGGTGAAATCAGACAGACAGGCAAACTTAATGTAACTAAAGAAAAGAATAAAAACACAAAATTAAGAAATACTGATGTTACATGCAAGCAAAGAGGAACACAGAAACTCTTTCTCAAATCCTCCTCCCACATGTCCAGCCATCAGATAGGTTGGCTGAGGATTCCCAACTCTCCATCTCCTGGCAGTGCCATGATACAGTGGAAAGATACTGATATCCCTGAGTGTCATCGAACTGTATCAGAAAGGGTGACTTACAGGATACCCTTTAAGTCAAGAAACATTCAGGAAAATAATTATCTAAATGTAGAAATTTTATTCATTAAAAATAGGAAATTGATCTTTACTTGTTCCTAAAATATTTTGTTTCCTCACTCAGAATCAACCAAAGCTCTTACATCCTAACAATCAAATGGGAACAGAAGGACCAACTCAGAAGAGGCTGCATACCCACGCTTCTCTCTCACTATAGGTCATTTGCTAGAATTCTGCCAAAATCCTCACGCTGCCAGGAGGTAGGATCACTGGCACAGGAATATCTCCCTGATACAGACACAGCTGTGTCTGGCAACAAAAGATCTGGCAAGGAATGCCATCCAAACCTAGGACACAAATATTGCAGCAGAAGACATTTTCTGACAAAGAAAACCAGGGTTTCTCCCCTTGACCTGATTTTCTTAACAGCATTAAGTGCCTGGACCAAAGGAACTGAAAATGAGAGCTGCAAGGGAATCTTTCAAGAAAGGAATCTGGGGTACTCCAAGTGGGGAGGAATTCTTCAGGAATACTGTCTTTTCCAAAGATATGGGGCTTACTGGTCTGTCTAGGCCCATGGACTCTACCACTTGGGACATTTAATAATCACTCGCAAATCTCCTCACTCTGAGAAAAACATATGGCCTGTTTAAGAAGAATATGGATGAGCAAAGATTATTCAGTCCTTGCTATTGCTGAGTCAGCCTTGATATCAATCCTGCTCCACCTCTAGTACCATAAAATCCTAAAACTGCATTTGTGATTTGTTCTCCTGCAGGACAATCTGATATATCATTCCCAACCAAGTCTTTAAGTGACTGGGTTACCACCAGCTGCTCTACACTCCATGGAGTCGCTCAACTCATCAAACTCCATCTTCAATCCTGACATTTTGGTGACAGGGTCATAGTCATGCACGGTTGGATTTGTTCGAGGTCAGATGACTGCTAGCCCAGATCCCTGCCAGCTGGCATTCCTGGTCCTTAACGTGTCCACAGTTCTACTCCTCTGAGACAGGTAACCTGAATGGTGAATTATAGTTCCTGGGCATCACTTAGACTGTCTTCATACACTGATTTCCTGTATTCTCATCTACTCTAGAAATGGAATCTCACTCAAACCTGGGCTTGCTTCTAATTCTCTGCCTCTTCCTGACCAACAGTATCCACCAAGACTTCGCCAGCCTGACCCAGGCCCCACCCTCATCAGAGCTTCCTCAAATTTTCTTGTTAAGATGTCAAGAAAAGCTATTAGATTTGGGGCATGTTACGACAGTCAATAATCCACTATTTGAATATCAAGAGCATTTTTGTAATTGACTCTTTTTCCTAATCAACTCAAAATCTATCTTCAAATTCATCCCTCACACTATTGCCAGAGTACTCTCTGCAGTTCATCCATCTCCTCACACCAATGTCTGTTTAAAAGCCACACATTGCTTGCCAGAATTTCAAACTCCTTTGCATGACAAAAGAGGCCCTTCACATGCTGACTTGTCTGTCTCAGCTCAGATCACTGTACCTCCTCCCCCTTCGCTGCACACTTCATTGCACACACACCTGGCACTGGCCATCTAAGAACACACATCCTCTGCCTGGAGCAGGGGAATAGTGCTTCACACTTTCATCTGAGAGATTCTCACATAAGTCAGATTCCATCAGGATGAAAGATTCCTATTTGGGTCAACATCATGTTACTTTTACAAACATATGCTTTGCATTTTATACTCAACTTTATTCTATGAAAAGTGAAACACAAAAGAAATCTGCTTTAAAAAACAAATAATAATAGTATAACTGCTAATAGTTATTGAGTTATTTATTATGTGTGAGGCACTTTGTTAAGCACCTTTATATGTATTACATAATTTACTCCTCAAAAGAACTCTATGAAGTAGAGGTTACATATTAACCACGGTTAACAGATGAGGGAGCTGAAGCAGAAACAGAATGAATAACTTCTCGAAGGTTTCACAGCTATTACAGGAGCTAGGGATTGAACCAAGACAATCTGATTTCAGATCCCACCATGTTACATTACCTTAATACACTCACAA